TTCAAATTATTTAGAACTTTAGATTTGATCTATATCGCACAATGTCATACTCCTCCTGTTCACAGTCGAGGGAATCGATGCCACTTCACCCTGTAGCACCCGTGTGTCTCTCAATATGCCTCGAAATAGGGTGTTGCTGGGGTGTCAGAGGATCACACCCCTGTATGCTTCCCACCTGCTCCAAAACCCGCCCCGTACTCTCTCACGCCGCCGCCACGCGCAGTATCTCGTGCACCCACCCGGTCGGAGAACCCCCAGACAAAGAGCACAATGCACAAAGGTGATGCCGAGACAGATGCTGCTGTCGCATGCTAAGCAAATCTCCACCTCCAAAGTAGTGCGAGTGCAGAAGCCGGTCCTCCTCCATCACCGTGCGCCTATTCATAACTCATTCATTTCCCCGGCACGGATAAAAGCAGCTCTTAAAGCACAATCCTTCACCCAATATTTATCCAATCTGACCAAATATTATAATTAATGCCTCTTTCTCTCCCCCTGTCCTCCAGGCCAATATATTCCACTCATCCCCCCCTCCTCCTCCCTCCCTAACCTCTCAGTGCCAAGTTCACAGATAGAGAGAAAGTACTTCCTGTGAGAGGCCGGGCCGGCTGCCAGAGAGACTGATCCACCAATCTGACACGTTAATGAGATCCTGGCCCACAGTGCCGGAGTGTCAGGTCTCCTCTGCCGCAGCAGCAGCCCTGCCGTGACCTGCAACAGACACGCAGCCACACGCGCAAACACACGTCTTTACTCATATGTGTAATTCTTTCACACATGCGCCCACACGCACAGAATTGTAAGCATAAATGAATACGAGTGAGTCCCTCTCTCCACACACACACACACACACACACACACATTTTGAGAGGGGGGTTCAGCTCCTTAAATCTGTCTAATTAAAACACCAAATCCCTCTACTCCCCTCACCCACAAACCCAATCCTCACTTCACGGCCGCACACACACACAGACTCGCACCCCACCCTCCTCCATCCCCACTGCCGCCACCCCCGATTCCGCAGGAGAAATGATTATTAGGAATTTAATGGGGAAACGTTTCCCGTCCCACACCATCTGGGGCTTGGGAATGGTACAAAATTTGAGGACGCTTGCCGACGTGGCGCTCAAACATTATTTTCATTTTTTTCTTGACTGTTGCTCGGATTTCCAGATATTGCAGAAAAAAAAGCTCCTGATTACAATAAATCACCATAGTATATTATAAAAATAAATAAAAAATGCTTTTGTGTGTGTATATGTGTGTTACGGGTGAACGCACGAAACTTTGCTCAACTTCTGAGGTGTTTCCTTCTGCAACTTATTCCAATAGAAACACAGTGTTTGTTTTGCACTAATTGCGATACCACATCTCAGATTGCAAATTCACCTCTTCGCGATATACATCCCCCATTCCTGTCCTTCACCTCCCACACAGAGCCGTGCCATATGCTCACTCTCTCTCTCTCTCTCTCTCTCTCTCTCTCTCTCTCTCTCTCTCTCTCTCTCTCTCTCTTTCTATACTTCTTTCTCCCCCCCCCTCTCTCTCTCTCTCTCCCTCGCTCTCTCCGCACAGATTAATGAGCTGCATGCATGTAGGGGGTACGTGTACACGTTTGACCCCGTCCTAAACTGCTGCACGCCTATGGGTGTGACCCTCCATCCCCCTTCCTCCTCCTCCTTCCTCCTCCTCCTCCTCCTCCAAGTCCTTCCTCCTCCTCACCCTCGTCAGCCTCTCTGTGAGGCCCCAAGAGGGATTGGATCTCTTCTGACAAACACGCACACACACACACACACAGCCCGGTTGAACAACTAGTAAGACTGACATGGTGAGAATTCCAGTCAATGGGATAAGGAAGACCTGTGATGATAGGGGGGGCTAAAGAGGTGCTTTTAGGGCCCCAAAGGGACCTCCAGTAACCCAGTCCTCCAGTTTTATGATGATATAGTGGGAGAGAAGCTTAAGTGGGGGAATGAAGACAGTAGGATTTCTGGGATATAAAAAAAACCTCAATGTTTGTTGAATTTGTGATTTCGCAGATTTCTTGTCTTGACTACCGGAAGAAAGAAAAAAATCACCAAAAGCATATTTCTTAATTAAATCACAGCTCATTTTGAAATGCTGTCACGATTCTGGTTTGAGTTCTCTAAAACGGAATTATTGCGAGAATGCGAGAAATCTCCATTAGGCTTCCGTAGTTTTTAGCGGTCATTCTTTTAGTTTGTTAGAATATTCTCAAGGCTTTTATTAGACTGCAATGAACATCTGTAAAAAATAAATATAAATGGAAAAGGATACATAACGGCCCTGAATTCCCCTTCAGAAACCAGAACTCTGTGATCATTTGAAGCTCAAATTCCATAGAATTGAATAAATGCTGAAAGGTTCACTTCTCTTCCTGCTTGGTTTCTTTTTAATTGTCTTGACAGGACTTTATTGTTCTTTATCTTTTGTCAAATGTGTACATGCATTCGTATCCTTCTTCTCCCACAGGCCTTGTTAAACTCACCTGTCTTTTTGCTCATGTGATCACATCTTTCTCACACGATTGGTCCCCGAAAGTCCCTTTCATATGAAACATTTCCCGAAAAGTCATGGTGAAAGATTGTAGGTTGTTGTTTTATTGTTTTTTTTTCTTGTGGTGAAATTTGATTAAATTGTTGGTTACGTTTCAATTTCTGTTTGCATTGCTTTAAATGAACACCGTTTGGCTCCTGAGCTGTTTTACTCGTTTATGGATTCGGGTTGCTACCTGTTGACGACGTGATTAAATGGCGCATGCGTGTAACTTCGTGAGGTGAACGCGGTGAACTTTGCGCATTCACTCTTTTAATAAACCCGGTTTAAAGAAAACGGATTTGTGTTGGTGTTTGAAACGTAAAAATAAACCAGTTAATCCAGCCGGCGATGTTTAGTTAGTAAAACTAATAAACAAATCAAATTGCGTATACATTTATTTTAACCCGGATGACTACACTATTTGCTTTATCATTTATTATTTAAAAAAAATAGAGCAGGAACGCGCGGCGAAAGAGGATTTGATTGTTTTTAAATGAACGTTTCCCTTTTGTCCCTTTTGTCCATTCGGAGCGCGTGACCACGTCGACAGAAGGAGCCGCGTCCTCAGGGATCAGACTTCCAGCGCGTCTCCTCGCACTGGGAGGACTGGGATCTCTGGCTGACATCCAATGCCTCTTGGCCATCATTTGCCTCATCAGAAATCTGATCGAATGAAATGAAATCAAATGATGTCGACCGGCCTTTTTTTTCACGTAAATAATTTCAGATCTCTGCGTCACATTGGCGTAACGTTTCACATATATCTATATAACGTTAACTGTTTGATTTAAAAATAAAAATAAAATTAAGTAAGGCTAAAACATTTAGTGTCGTTCAAGACAATCATTTTGAAAATACACTTTTACAAACATATAAATCTTATGTTGATACAAAAGGCCTTTTATGGAACCACATTTGGCAGCGAAAAAAACAGAGGTAATGAAAGATTATTAAAAATGAAACCAATGATGATAAATAGATCCTATTACAGCCGGGGCGTTTTTATTTTACCTTGATTCATTAATCTAAAAAAAATTGCCTTCTGCTGTCCATCATTTTAACAGAGAAAAGCTGCAACAGAAGTCTGACCGCCTCTTACTTTTATTGCGACAAACACATCACAAAACATGAACACCTTACTTCACGAGTATTTCGATCCATAACGAGTTTTTAGGAGTTTGCGTGGATGTGTGTGTGTGTGTGTGTGTGTGTGTGTGTGTGTGTGTGTGTGTAAAGGTGCATGTGTGCTTCTGTGAGTGAGAGAGAGAGAGAGAGAGAGAGAGAGAGAGAGAGAGAGAGACAAAAAAATCATCCAAAAAGCAATTCATCATTCGGGTAAAGTTACAAAATGAACTGGATTTATGAGTACAGTCACCAACATTGTGCAGAAATACATGAAGTGCATTACAGCTGCTCTTCGGCGAGAACAAGAAAGTGTAAAAAGTTCACATCAAACTATCCAAAACTGTCATATCGTTGCATATCGATGGCCATCGTCTCTTTTTTAAGGCATGTTGTTCAGATTCGTGAAACACTTAGTTCACTTCACGCAAAATGACTTCCCTTCCAGCTGCGGTGAAATACACAACAATGCAACGTAAGCCAATTCTAAATGTATGGAAATTCACATAAAACCGTAACACTTTTTAATTGTACATAATTTAATAATATATTATCCACATTCAAATTGAAGGACTTATAATAAATAAGCTTAAATAAATAAATACAATAATTTACATTCACCTCGTTACCACACTATTTACTCCAAATACAAATGCGTTTAGTATTTTTGTTCCACAACTTCCTGTATTCATAAGACCAGTTCAGATGACATCATCATCATCATCATCATCATCAGGTATTGTAAACACGTGCAGGTGTCCAAAACTGGCTTTTAAAAAATAGTTAATTGTAATTCGTGTAATTGTGATCATTTTTCATTAGATTATGAGAAACGCCTTGTGAGTGGAAATAGCATTATTTCATTTTTATACGCAAAGATTGCATCTGGCTGCCTTGCATAGCTAAATTTACCTTTATTGCTAACAGACTGAATATCTGGACTCCAATCATGTCTCAGCAAACTTCCCTGATGAGGTGAAACGTCGTTAGATTGTTCTTCCCCGGTAGCTGATTTTATTTCTCCATGAAAATCATTTCAGTGACTCCTGTGAACATGATTAAATAAGCAGAAACATCTAATTCATTATTGTTTGTATCACTTTTAAATTACTCTAATGTCAAGCAATTAACAAAAAAAATGCACTAGTTGTAAACTATTTGCCAGAAAACCTGCATCTTTAACGAAGTTCTCTAAAGTAAACCTTTTCATGTTGTCTTTAAAATGACTTCAAATTGAAGTCATTGCATTTGTTTTCAAAACAAACATTTTTTGTTGCTGTTGTTGTTGTCCTCGACAAATTTGAGATTGCATCGCATTGCATCGCTTCTGAAACGTGGACTCCGTCCAGCTGATTGATTAGTTGTGGAAGGAGCCATTGACTTCCCCCTGTGCTTGGAACGACTGGCCGCGGACGTGCAGGTCGTACGGGAAACGGCCCTCCGGGGAGACTCGGTACATGGAGTTGTGCGCAAGAGCCGCGCGCCCCGGCGCGCCGCAGTAGCGCATGCCATAGTGGCCGCCTTTGCCGTACTCCGGCGGATCGTCGTGTTTCAGGGAGAAAATCCCGTTAAAGTTCATCGGTGGGCTCATCTGGCCGTCGAAATGCGGACTGCCGCCCTCCGGGGACGGGTTCTCGTAGTAGGGCTCGTACGCGCCGCTGTAGCTGTAGTGTCTGAAGGGCTTGGCGCCGCTGTCCAAGCTGCCCGCGCTGTGGCCGGGGGGCGTGTTCACGTCCGAGCCGGGGTACGAGTACATGGCGTCGTAGGGCGCCCGGCCAGAGAACATGACCTCCCCGTTGTGGTCTGTGAGGAAATTCCTCGCGTTCAGCTGCAAACAACCCGCCACCAAGTTGGTGGTGGGCTGGGATAATCCTTTGCACAAAGTCTGCACGAAGGCGAGGAGGTCCGGTCTCTTCCCGGCGCTCAGGGTCTCTGACAGGGCCCAGATGTAATTTTTAGCCAGTCTGAGGGTCTCGATCTTGGACAGTTTTTGAGTTTTTGAGTAGCACGGCACGACTTTGCGCAGGCTCTCCAGCGCGTCGTTCAAGCCGTGCATCCGGCTGCGCTCCCGGGCGTTCGCCTCGTGGCGCCGCACTTTGGACCTGTCCGTCTCCGACTTACCGGGCCTCTTTTTCCGCGGGCCCCGCTTTTTCGGAAGCCCGTCGTCGTCCTGGTCGCCGTCCCTTTCGTCCTCCTCCCTGTGGGAGATGTCGTCCTCGGCCTCCCGCATGTCTGAGTTGGAACTGTCCGCGTCGTTTTTTCGCTCCTTCTCCAGACTCTCCGGTAAAGCCTTCCCGGGGATAATTGGCACCAAACCGCTGCTCACACATCAAATGAGGTTCCTCGAATGGCAGCGTCAACATATTTCCTGTCAAATCAAAGCCAAAGCGCCACACCTATGAGGACGCAGAACTACAGCGATGTCTCGCTGAAGGTGGTAATTCCCTTGTGAATGGGTCCTCCCATGAGAGGGGGGGGGGGGGGCAATTGGCCAGTGAGGCCAATGTCACAGGTTGCTACCTTTTCAAAGACACTCAACTTCATGGTCTTAAGGTATGAAAATGTTTTAAGCCTAATCACATGCTTTTTGGTAATGATACGTCATTAAAAAATGGCTTTTTTTTGTTTATTTTTTTTGCACAAAACACACATTTCAACACTATTTCTTAATGCAATAATAAGCAATACAGCATATCAATAAGGAGGATAAGCTACTAACCTCAGGTCAGCGTGCACCTTGCATGTTCCCAAATATCTCCTCTGAATCTGTGATGCAGGTTCCTTTCTTAGAAAACCAGCGTTAAAAGGGAAAAGCTGAAACCTGCGCGCTCTCCTTTCCTCTCTCCTTTCCTCTCTCCTTTCCACTCTCCTTTCCTCTTGACTTGCTGCGTTGTGCTTGTCCTCTTCTCTCCCCCTCACTCCCTCTCCCACTCTCTCTCTCTCCCTCTCTCCCACTCTCTTCCCCTTCCCTCTCTCTTTGAGGAATGACACCCGTGCCAGCAGCGGGTACCCGTGCCATCTGCCGCTGACGTCTTGTGGCAGCCGAGACCACGTGCTCGGTGTCCCACGGGACCTCCATTGCGAACCGATCATCTGGCAGCTCCGGTAATGGGCACCGGGAGCCCCGCGTTTACCGTCAAAAACACAAACTGGAGAGGGATAACAACTAATATCTGCGTCTCCCCGTGAAAGAAACGTAAACGCGCGTGTCTTTTTGTCCAGATGTCCGGTTTTTCAGTCATCCTCAACAGGTGAGACAGACGGACGGACAGAAAGATGGAGACACTCTTGTGTTTTGGTCCTAACTTGTATTTGCACAATCTAGTAATGTAAAAGGTGTAGAACATACATCAAATGAGTTTACAAGCCATTGAGACCTGCCCCTAAACTCTATTCAATATATTTACATTACATTAAATTAAACCAATTATAAATGCATTTCTGACAGGAAAAAGAAGGAAAACAAAAAGCCAAATTATATAGGTACTGTTAGCTGCTTTAGCTCCCCGTGCTCGGGATGTTGAACTGATGGCGAGGTCTCAAACCACATCTGTAAAACAAGGATGGACACGTCCAGCTTTGTATGCAGCACCAACTATTCCCAAAACCCAAATGTGTGAAATAAATAAGAGGTCAAACAGGAAGTTAGACCTCAATGGGGTTAAAGTGACCCAGAGGTCGTCCACCTTTGTTTGCAAAACAAAATGATGGTATTCCTTCTCTCACAGAGCAGCACTGTTCGTGGCAAAGGGAGGAGTCGACATTTCATTGAATTTCATTTTTAAACCGTAATATTCTCATTTCAGCAAATGACCACAAACAGCATTTGTGTAATTCTACACGATTAAGCTCTGCAGCTTTCTTGGTTATGTTGTACTACTTGTTCCAACCCAAATATGACCTCCGTCTCCACACTACTGTCTAAGCTGCTTCTGTACGTGTTGTATTACGTAACATTTAAGGTAAGTTAAGTTTAAATATTTATTCATGTGCAGAAAATGTTGTTGACTGTTCAACTGACAAAACATAAAGATATTCAGTAGAAAAGTAGAAAAGAGTATAAAAGAGAGAAAAAGACATAATGGGTACACGTCCTTATTTTTAAGTGTTGCTGCAAACAACAATTCATTTATATACAACTTAAAATATTACTTTTTTTAATTAATCCGATTCGATTTCATAGCTGCAGCTCTGCATGAGAATTCCAGCAGACGAGGAGGACGGTGTGATACCAGGGGGGTTGTGGGGGGAGCGTGCACGGCGTTGGTACCTCAGGACCGCAGACATTAAGTGCACCCCGTGGAAAAGGCCCAGTGGCACGCTGCCAAATCCACCGTGGGGCACAGCTGGCACTCGATACGGGTATATGCACTCCTCAGTTATGTGTAACACGCACACACACACACACACACAAGCTCACACACAGACGTGTGTGCCTGTGAATGACCTTGTTGCAAGGAGAATCAATTAGAGCGACTTATCTGTCTCTGTGTATCGGACACCGGGAGACGGCGACCGGCGGTTCGAGCCCGGCTGCAGAGCGCCGCGGCGCTGACGACACCTGGGTGGGAGTCCGCAGGAGGAGGGTGACAACAAAACGCGTGTACACACACTGTGTCCACTTGACCCCGATGTGTGCACCAAACATGTGTTCACACAGATATACAGGCTGGTGTGTGTGTGTGTGTGTGTGTGTGTGCGTGCGTGCGGACAAACACCTACTGTACTCGAGCACACCCAAAAAGAAAAAGAAAAAAACACAGCCCCTTCATAGCAGCCCCCCCCCCCCCCAGAAAATGCCTCAGCGTGGTTGGGTGGTTGTTTGTGGTCCGGAGGACATAGACACAGCAGATAGACACACAAATACACACACACACACACACACACACACACACACACACCAGCATCTGATGAGTCAAACTCCCCATCTCAGACTAATCAGTTGACTGCACTAATTGCAAATGCAAATATGCAAATTTATATTAATTAATTACTCCACTAATTAGTTCTCTTGTCTTTTCAGGTAATAAATCATGGTGTGGTTGAGAGGGAAAGAGAGAGACATGCCGGTAATCTTTTGTCTGCTAGAAGTCCTCGTTTCAGGTCCGAATCCTGGGATATTTTTAGGACGCTTTTCATTAAAAACCGTCCTCTGCTGAGACTCCTTAACTTTGCTTCCCTCACAACAATCACAAGCTAGTTAATTATTGCAGTTGATGTTTTACGTGTCATACTTCAGGGTTGGAAGCATTGTGATTCGAGGGGTAAAGCAAATAGCAGAGGTTGGTAAATCAGTGCGTCTCGCTGACAGTTCTTGTCTGTCAGCTCTTTTAATTATCACATTATCAGCTTTTATGGGCCCGGTGCGTGGCGTGCAGCCGCAAACCAAGGCGCCACTGATCGCACGCTCAGTCGCAGGCGTTTTTCGATTGATGTCAGCAGATAAAGGGAGCTTGTGCCGGGAGAATGCGCGCGAGCGGATCAAGTGGTTGCGGATGTGGTGATACAACTTGAATCCGTCCAAAATCTAATTGACTGCATTACTATTCATAGATCATTTCTCTAGCGAGAGCCTGTGAAGCTGGAGAACGTTACAAAGTGAACCCCAAAGGCCAAGCTTGTATTTTCTTAAATCCCAACACTGACTCGGTAATGAGCCTTTTACTGTTAATTATCAGTTGCTCAATTATCTAACAACTCTCACTATTTATTTTGGATTGAGGTACATGTTCAAATTACCTAAGCTAAATAGGGAAGTGCTTAAATACAAGTGCAAGTCATTACTTGTTGTCGCTAATACCGAGATGAACACCTCGGTTGCTGCTGGGAAATTGCTTCTGTACACTGTAAATCTGATGTTGATTGTTTTAATGTCTTAATGTAGAATGCTGCAAAATGTCTGATGGACCTCCATCCCTTTGCCCAACCAGGTCAAAGGCAAATTGAACACACGTCAAAGAAAATGTTCAGTCGAGTCCGAGTCAAGACTCATTGGATGGAATTTAGGTTTGAGGAGTCGCCGATTGTTGATGCAAAAACTGCAGGTTTAGGGAGCCATTATGGTTTTGGTTAAATGTTTTCACTGTAGACTAACTGAGGTAAAAGTGGGCTGATTGGGTGTCCGAGAGCAAATACTGTTAAACAGACTAAATGCAACGTCACTGAATGTGTTTGGGGTGTTTGGAGGTAAAAATGTTTTTTTAGTGGTATTAGACGGCTTTTAGTGACAATGTTTGTTGGGATTCAGTCAGCAAATTGAAAAGTAGAGGAAAATGAATGTCCAAATGTCCTATTAGTGCGCTCAAACCCCAAATAAACAGGACCTAAACGTCCTCAAGAATTGAAATGGGGGAGTCCACCGTCACAATTTAAATCCGACCTTTAATCAGAAAGGGAGAACAAATTGCTCACGGTTTCGGGGGGGAAACACATTCGACGACCAACAACCACCAGCCGGGGGCCACGTGCAGAGCAGCGCTGAGGATTGTGGGACCGATTACGGGCGGCCAGGTCCTGGACCGGTGTGTCCTCCAGCTGTGCTGTTCTATCCAATTAGAAGCTCCATATGCCGCCCCACTCAGCTGCCGAGTGGCCACACCTCCCGCCCCGCACGGGGTGGGAGCATTGTGCGTTTCTGTGTTTGTGTGTACAAACAACACAACTCCTTTGTGAAGGAAAAAAGCAACTTTGAACTTGGTCTAATAGTTTAACAGCGTTCGGTGCAGTGAAGTTTTCCGTGAGATGGTTGCTGTGCCCCTTTTCTCTGCACAAAGAAACTCTGTCCCTGCTCCTGTGATAAGAAACACACACAGGTATTTAGGTGGGTGGCATAGAAGTGCTAATAGTATTAAAATATGGGGGTATGAATAATGGATATGTTTTTGAAGATGTATAATGTAAAGATGTTTTTAGACGGAGACGGGACGCAGACGTGAAATGTTGCTGCAGGCTCCCGTTTCTTTTTCAAAGCTCAATCTGTTCGCACACGTTCAAAGTGGCTGTTACAATCTGTTGTGGTAGCGACACTTCCGTACCCAGAAAGTGATGAGATGAATAAAACGTGTCAGACATCGGATTTAAGTAAAAATCACATCTTTAGATTTATACGAGTATTGTATGAAATGTAGGAAGAACTCAGAGGAGATGGTGTCTGACCTACAGCAACTGTTGTCATGTGAATTAACATTATTATTCTTATTCTCAGACCTCAGGGACATTGATGCACTCATCAGTATGAAATTAAGTTTTAAAAGGGGTTTTATAATGCATGTGATTCCACCGACTTGCCAACTTTTATGCATTTCTTTTTGTAGCAGCTATGCTTTTTTTTTTTAGAAGCTTGAAGCTTGAAGATTGACAGGTTTGAAACGTCGTTTTCTGACCTAATCGACACTCCAAGTGTTGATTAGACGTCTTTCTGCCTCTTCCCCCGTCGACTGTCCTCAACTCCCCGTCGACTCACAGCATCGAGAAACCACCTCTCATTCTTAACATAGCGCTGCACAGAAATAGTTTTCAGTGTGCAGGGCAAATTCACTTTATATTACATTTTCGCATGTGTCATTCATGCTAATTGCTGTGTTACATGGGGCCACAGTCACATGTGGTGGTTGTTTAAACGGTCTTTCCCGCCCATCGGCTATGAAGTATAGAAAAGCCTTAAATCAGCTGGCCCTTTAGGCCTTACTGATGTTACGGAAAGTGTGCTAATTTGCTAATTTCGCCACGAGATGGTTAGCTAGCTCAAGAAACGTTTCAGAAGGAGTCACATGACCTTTGCCCTTTGAAGATGGAGGATTACTGTTTTTAAAACTATGAACTTACTTTTTGAAAGTTTGGACCTGGAGCCCGAAGGCGTTTAGCTCCGTTTAGCTCCGCTTAGCTCAGTTTAGCTCAGGCTAAACGACTAGCGAATCAGAACCGCTAAAGCCCCAAAGTGGCCAATCGAACTAAAACACTTAAGCCCTTAACTGAAAGCCATAACTAATGGCATTGCGTAAATTCCCCTCTGGCTGTTTGGAATAACTTCATCTACTTCTCCACCCTTAAACTCCATTGTGATGTTGCTGGAAATATCTCGACATGACACCGAGCCATCTGTGTTCAAGCACTTTTAGCAAGAAGGAGCAACAAGGTGTTGCAGTGTTAAATTGGTTTAAGTTGGTTTTAAAGGGACATTGCTGCATAATGAACTTCAGCTCCAAATACAGTCAACATAAAGGAAGAAAGTACATGTTATTAATGCTTCTTTTGAATGTTATTAGTACAGCTTCAGCATCCAATGAATTGAGTTTTTTTCTTGGATTTTCTTCATTGTGGATATTATATAAAGCATTTTGGGGCTTCTTAATCTTAAGTAGTGTATTATTAGCATTGGTTGGACGTCAAGACTAAACAATGGAAAATGATAATGATCAAGGGGTGCTTATAAAGAAGTGCGGTTATGCAACCTCTGTTTTAGGCTAAATTGTGGCTCTTAACGTTAACTTAAGAAGTGCAATGTTAAAGTATAGAAAACTATTTCCATACAATCATCGTACTACTTCATCCACCACTGAAACATAATAGGAAGGAATTGAAGAGCTTTATTGTAACAGACAAAACAACTCTGACACCACACTGCAGTACTAGATGATGATTTAAGTATTAGACATTAGTCATTTTATTTTTTCTTCTACACAAACTCTGTGTTTCTGTTTGTATTTTCCATTATCTTCCACTATCATCATTGCGATCCCCACTTTCACGGCAGATCTTTGTCTGCAGACGTGTGGGAGCCCACTGCATCATCTGCTACGCGTCACAATGCTTAAGCCACGATGGGGGTCCGTCCGGCGTGGACCCGCCCCCCTCGCCCACCCCCCCCCCCCCACACCTGAGGGGGCTGGAGGGGCAGGGGGCGCCCGGGGGTGAGGGGGGGGGGAGTTACAGTTGGCATCCACGGGCTCCTCACCTGTCAAGCTTCCAGAGAGAAACCACTTGGACGACACCACAAAAGATTCCTCTCTATTTGGGGGTGTGCCCCTCCTCAGGACGAGGGAGGCTTGAGTCTTTTAGAGTTGAGGCCATTGCCAGACACGCCAAGCGGCTCGGGGCGAGGGGCCCTTTGATTCTGGGCTCTCGATCAGTCACTCTAAATAGAGCTCTGTGCTCCTTCCAGCGGATAGACGGGGTTTCGCTTTTATTAAACAGCTTGATACGCGATGTCTACTTTACATGCTGCGGGGACGTGGCCGCGTGCAGTTGAGTGGCGAGAACATGCTGTCCTCTCCGGTTAGGTTACAGGATGGGTTCCCAAAAGGCAGACGTACTGTAGCCTTGCTGTGACAGCATCAGATTCTATTTACAGTATATGTTTGCTATTTATATTTGGCAGCTACTTATTACATTTTTTATAAAAAATGCCAAATATTTTATTTGCCAGTAAAAATAAGGCATTTAGGTTTTGGACGGACAAATCATGGAATTGGCAGATTTCAGTTTGAACTTTAGTTTGAATATTTTGACTATTAAGATTTTGTAGGACAAACATGTTGACTAATCAAGAAGGGATTAATCCATCAGTAATGGAAGTCACCTAATCTTTTCTTTTATCGTAGGATAACCAACATACACCAACAAAATCAACGTTCAGGTGCCTCCTCGTTTCCATGCGTGCATATATTTTAAGGCATTATGTGCATTTGAGCACGTCCTCCACACAGGTGTGACTGTTTTCCTTTTGATGAAGGAAAAGCAAACTTATTAGCAGGTCCAGGTACATCAGAGCAGCAGTATCCGCCAGTGGCCATGTGATTAAATCACACAGAGCGAGTCTCGGGGAGCCGGCTAATGAAGGAACAGGCTGGCGGATGCCTTCACACCCCGCCCTCCTCCTCCTCCTTCTCATGCTCTTCCTCCACCAAGTCATACTGGAGCTCAGCCCGAACCCGGGACAGGAGGTGGGGTGGAGCACAGATATCAACACTCACATAAATGCATGGACAAACTACATTTGCATGTGCAGGAGCTTTTTTAGGCGGTGGCATGTATGTGAATCAACACAAACACAGACAAAGAAAGAGAGAATTCATAGATCTGTAACATTGCAGATTGAACCACCACCACAGGACGCACACTCTTTTACACCAGAAAAAGAAAATCATTTGCCCATTTTTACTTCCAAGCAGATTGACTATTTAAAAGAATAATGACCAACAACAAAAGCTCTGTAAATCAACAGTGAGCAAAACACACACACACAACAAAAAATAAATCTTTCTTTGCAGCCTCGCCATAGTCTTCAATCGCGTCAAAGAAAGAAACATTGAATGCTCTTTAAAATACGGTTGATGGCTTTTGGTTACAGGCAGTCCTCATTTTCGTGCCTGGCAATGGTCTTTTATGGCGAGGGACCTAATACAAGATTTCTGTTCTAGTGCAAACACAGTGGCCATGGGCACCAAGGAACAGCTGCCGTATAATTGAATTAACATTCGCCTTCTGCTCCGGCACTCAGCGCTGTGCTGAGAACTCGTACACAACCCTCCACCAGCTCCATCAACCTGCCCATGAATATGCATGCTGCTTGTGATAAATATGCGTTCTGTGTATAATGTGTGTGGAGGTGCCTACATGGTGGATAAAGAGCCATATACTGACTATCTTGGGAGTTTGACGCGGCAGGCACCGAGTCCGTTGATCATTTTTAGTGCCGCGGGCCCCTCCGAGGCCGAGGGAGGTGGCATCGGAGGGGCCTCCGTGTGATTTGAGGTCTAACAGAGACATCTAGTGGATTGTTGACTGCGAGGACGCTGAAATGTTACTTTCCTGGAGACTTCACTCGGCAGCACACGACTAATAACCAGTCACACGTACCACCGTTATTACCACGGCTTACTGAAATTTGACATATTTCACACTTTTTTTAATATTCATTTATTTTTGGACACAGTGGGACATATTTGTCTTACAAGTTTGACTAGTTAAGAGATAAATATGAATTGTTTTATGATATTAGTTCACGACTCTGCAGTAACGCAGCGACAAACCGTGGAATCAGGGGTGTGGGGCCAAACTTTGCACCGCTGCGCATCAATCATGGGCATGTACTGCGTCCTGCCATCAACCGTGTCACAGCCGTAAACATAAACATTCGCAATGTGTCCCAGATTGTGGCTGTAATAAGCTGGCAGGAAGTAAACGTCTACCCAAGCTGTTGCCTGGCAATGCAAATCCTTTGAAAACGGTCACTCCTCCTCCTCCCGTCTCCTTTGACCTCGGAGTTTCACTCAGGCCACATTGCTGTCAAACAGCCTGACGCATGAAATAATATTTAGAACATTTTGATTCTTTTTGTATTGAAGTGAACATTTAAAAAACACATTTTTCCTGGTATTTTGTATACACTTTTAGTGTTATTAGTAACACCCAGTGGTGGAATGTTAAAATGACTAAAGTAACGTTTTTGTGATACTTTTTTGCTTTCCTTTTCATTTCACAGCTGTAGTAAGTCTAAAGAGTATCATTACCAAGTTTAAGTCCACTAAAAAACTATGAAATACCGTTATAGATTAATTCAACAAGATATTTGTTTAAAAAATGTGACAACACGGTTGCTAAAAGTGCATTAAGATGTCTCGTAGGTCGGTATGAACAGGAGAAACAATTAGTAAAAAAACAGTAAAAGATTGTGATGCTATCCTTTAACTGTTTTAGAAACAATTAATTAATTAATCAAAGTAATTAGACACCTCATGAAATACCCCTTTAAGTATCTCATATAATACTGTGTAGTTGTTGTAGAAATGAAGACATTCAGACATGATCTGAGCCCTTTGAGTCCAGATTTATTGATACGGCTGTGCAGTCACAGAGCACGGTGGCACACGCGGCCGCCTGGCCGGCACTGGGACAGTGACGCACACATGCATGCACACACACACGCACTCACACACGCACGCACGCACACACACAACCATACACACTCGTTGTCATCCGTTTTAATGGAGCTTCAATCTAAGGCGTTTTTCTTTTGTTAGCTGTTTGACTACCGTTTAGAACTTGACTTTTATAATGAGTCCTTGTGTATACTGAATATCTGTAAAGATATTGAGTCGTATCTGCTTAACGTGGTGTATAAAACATGTGAGAACTTGCCTTTTAAAGTAGGAAATACTCTTTTGAAATTTACTCCTTTAATGATGATTATTTATTTTACTTAAGTGTTTAACAGCTTCAAACGCTCCACTGTATAACTTTTTGTTTATTTCTCACTCCCTTAGACACACACACACACACACACACACACACACAGACACACACACTCGTCTCATCACACTCTCATCGATAGAGCAGGTCACAGTGAGGAGATCAAAAAAAATGCACATTAAGTATTTTCCGGCAGTTTCTCACACACACTTTACATCCATCTAACCTCGGTCACTGGGACAGTTTGAGATCCGAGTGATTCACACTAAACAAGGAAACAAAGCATCAAACAAACAACATTAATCTGCTCTGTAGTAACAATAACAAAACATCATGTTGTCTGACCATGTCATAAACACAGCTATTTTTCTGATTATGGTTGGTATAATTATTTTTTAAATATTCATACAGTAGAGGCTAAAACAGTAGCTGGTGAAATATAGAGCAAACTACAAGACTGTACATGTGTTGGTCGCTTGGTGAAGAAAATATATCCTGCTTTACCAAGTATCAGGCAGGCAATTTTGGGCACAGGATGAGTTTTGTATTTGTTCTCTCTATCTGATCGTTATATGATTGTTACACTTTGAATTTACAGTTTGGAGCCACTTGGATTTTTTTTTCTGACTTCAGAGCTGGGTGAATAAAACATATTGAACAGACACACACAGGGACAGATGAACCAGCGAGGAGAGACAAAATGACAAAATAAAAATGACATTATATGTATATAAGACTTTTGAACAATCCAGCAAACAGGCCGCTAAAACAGAAAAAGCTACACAGCGATAAAATTGATTTTTCTAAATGAAAACAAGCAAAAATCTACCACCTAAATACTACTTCTGCAACATCAAACTTCTGACTTTACAAACTTTCCAACATTTTTTCTAAAATTAAGTAGGAAGAACTGAATGTTTGCCTGTACGTAGATCCGCACAAATTGAATGACACAGTTCCTCCAGGTGAAATGTGTGAAATAGAAAGTACATTTAAAGAGGCACACATTCAGTCAGCTGTCTTGCTAACCACCGACTGTATTTTTTAAGTATAAAGATGCATGTGGTTAGATCACGTGATAAACTGCTTTATAGATCCTCTACCTGCAATAATATAAAAATGAGTCGAGTGTATTAAAACAAAGAGGCTACAAAATTATTCCTATAGTTGTATATAAATGTTTACAAGCTGGATTATTCCCTCTCTTTAACCCTATTTATAATGTATCTTTTAGTATATGTACTAGTACACATTTTTACAGTATAATGGAATATACCAATAACCTGATGTTGGCACAATAAATGTTGGGAATTTTGTATCGAAAGAATGTAAAACATAAGGACACACAAAATAAATGTGCAAAATGTCAGGGAAAACATATCCATTCTTATGTGAATACTGCCAAAATGCTTTTTTTCTGTATAGTTAAAGCTGAACCAGCATTGCAGAGGTTCAATATGTTACATATGCACAGTAAGCAATATCTGCATCTCCTATTCGCAACATTACAGGCCTTAAAAACCCGGCATACAGACAAGAAGCAGATACAGTTTGGACTCATAGCCGCGGATGCATCACAGAAGCATGACGGATTCAACTGGCTGATAAGTGTACGAGCACGCTGTAAACACGTCGTTTTAAACCATTGCACCAACAACATAACGGTGATGCAAAATAAAACACAGCCTTTTCTCTAATTCAGGAACAATCTTGTCATTTCTGCTACGGATTAAATACATATAAGAAGGCATCAAGAAGAAGTCTTTTGACGAAGAAATGCCAAACAGTGTGAGGACATTAGACACACCTAGTGCTTGATTCACAACCAATGCAAAACAAATAGAAGATTGTTACAAAAAGAAAGTAAAGAAAAATGTTTTACTTATTACAAAAACTTGAATGTGTGATATGTTTGAGATGCAATAGTTGCATTCTAATTTTTGGACATTTTTCACTACACAATCTTACATTATACCCGAAAAGAAAACATCTGGCGATGGATTGTGGGATTGAAGGATTTCTACTCTTCAGATCCGTACACATACAAGCTTTCAATATATACAGCAAAGAGGCCAGAAACACACAAAAACAATACAAACCTGGCTGCAAAGAACACAATCGCATCAGAATGTCTGAGGAAAGCACTGGTAAAGTAAACATGTTACGGGTTTCTTGCAGAAGCCTCAGCAAACATGAGGAACTCCAAACCCGAGCTGCTGCAGCCCGGGCGAAAGTACAATCGTCTACACAGAGATACGTTCAGGGAGTTCTTTCTAGTAAAATATTAGTGCTGTAAACCTGTCAATTGAACAGCACACATACTCCATGTACATACTGTGTAGCAGCTGTAGATATCACTATTCATGTAGATCTGGTCTGCCTTTCTAACAATGTATTCTTCAGTGAGTACAGAAAATAAATGACTGATGCAAAAGACGTCTCTCTAAGCAACCTTGTTTTTTTTGTTGCTTGTGTTGAGTGTCCACAGAGAAGCAATGCACAGCAGTGAAAGGTGGGACTTGAAAAGAACGGTTACATGTCTGTGGTCTGAGTGAAAACACACAATAGGAGCAAAGTAAACAATTGGCAAACTAAAGCTACAAAAGCAGCATTTTCAACCCCAAATGGCATCATAAGTTAAATCTTCTTCTGTATTGCATTCACCGCGAAGCAGGAAGGGGGGTATAATGCATGTGGCTTGAGCTGCGAGCTCTGCATACAATAGCCTGGGAGCATCAACACAGGAAAAGTAAAAACTGTTAATCGGAGAGACAAACAAACAGGAAGTGAAGGTGTCAGTTTCTTGGCGTCCTGCAGGGGGCGACACAGTCCAACTAGTGGCCTTTCCTCCGGAGTTGGAGCCCTCGCATACAAGTAAAAGCCAGTTGGGGTCAGTTCCCTCATTCCATCGCCACCACTGCTTTGGGGGAAACAAGTATTATTCATTTAAGAGAGATGATAAATCTGTTTTTTATTTGGAGGAAATCTCACTACAGGATGATCAATTCACATGGATTTGAAGTCTGAACCAAACTTTCACACGGTTAATGGGCTGTCAAAAACGTAATTAAAATATAATTCAATTACAAGTACAGCTAAATGAACAGTCATACGTCTTTATGTTAGTGCACAAACAATGTAACATTCATGACGGTAGAATTTACTGCAGGAATACTATAACAGACTACTCTTGTTTAATTTAGTGGACCTGAAATTTGGCACCTCAGCGTAGATCCTTTCCTTTTTTGTCAATAGTTTGTGGGCTGCGGGAAAAAACTCACCATCATCTTCTTTGTTCTGTCTTTCTTCACCCTTCGGCGAAACAGAATCCTCAGACAACTCTCCTGAAAAGTGAGAGCAATCTTGTCATTTTGTCCCACTGTTACCGTGGTGACGGAAATGTAAAATTAGGAAGTCTGTAAAAAACAAACATAGTTCAAACCCACAGGACCGGTTTAGGCTTTATACAAATATTCGTATTCATCGGCTTTCAAGCAAAGTGAGTGGGCGCTAAAGGTTGGGAGAAAAATAAATCCAAACCGTGTCACTGATGATAGAAACATTCACTACAGCATTAATGATGACTTGGGTATGCGTGTCAATGCGCTGCATGTAAGCTGCCTTACGTCACCGCATGCGGTGCCTTGCCCAGTCAGCAGGACGTACCGTTCTGCAGCGGAGGGTTCTTGTTTGTGGTGCTGTCCGGCGGCGCTGTCTGCTCCGTTTCCTCCATGTCACCATCTGGTGCTCCAACCTCCGCAGAATCAGGCTCCTCCCCCTCCTCCACCTGCAGATGGTCGGCCTTCGGTTCAGGCCGCTCTGGTTCCGTGTGGGCCTCCTGGGGCTCCATGGCCTCTTCCTGTTGGGCTTGCTCCTCCGCCTCCCTTTTAGCTCTCTCCTCCGCCTCTGAGGTCACATGGAGGGTGGAGGCTGTTTAGCGTATTTGGGTGCGAATGTGCATTCAGTCATTGCAGCTTGGTTCTTACTTAAAGCCAGCCAACGCTGACGGAGCTCATTTGATAAAACATCTCAATGAATTTGAACTTAAAGCTGCATTAAATTGTGTCCACTTGGGGGCAGCAGAACCAGGCTGAAACCACATTTATCACCTTTATGTTGACATGGTAGACGAGCCTGTTTACACATCCAGCCGTTACTGAGCAACACTCATTCATTTGGGTTTTGTTGCTACCAAGGCCAATACTTTGGTAAATGCTGCACTTTATTCACATTTCATATTGGGTGTCTATGTGCTGTTTGCTGCGGAGTGGATAGTGGACTGCGGATTACTTGAGTTTGCTTTTCTTAGAAAATGGTGCTGATTATCACGCGGAGAGTAAACCAGACAAACCAGGGAGCTGCTGGATGGAAAACCAAAAATGATGATATGAAATGAAAACAAACAGCTACAAGCAATAGATTTCACATTGAGATAGTCATGACATATGTGGTCAATATGAAATAGTGATACTAGCTGAAACATATGTATTGTAGTCCCTTGAATGGGCCCTTTTTATGGTAACTAATGACTATTGATTTGATATTGATCAGTGTTATTTGGCAGCGGACTGTTTGCGGAGGAGGATAAATACCAACTATATGAATAACAACCCAAAAGCTCTTTTTATTTTCGGCTCACATTTAACAAAACAATTAGGTAAACCGTACAACCCCGTATTATAGGTGTTTCATTAGAATGTAATGCTAACTTACTACTATGTCACAATTAGCACAAATACTTGACACTGTTGATATAAAGTGATGCTAATCACTGTTGACTACCACGCTCGCGTAGGTAAAGCTATGCAGCTACTTTAAACTATTCCCCGGATCGATTTGGAATATGAGTTTTACCATGAGACGAGATGTCCCCGGATCACCTCCATTTACCTGTGCGTTACTACGGTTGTGAGGTTAAACTGTACCTTTAGCGGCCTGAGCTTTCCACCTCTCTCTGTTCTGGTACACCTCTTCATTCCACAACGCCTTGAAGTTCTTCAGGTCCACCGTCAGCAGGGAGCTGTGTCCCGACGAGCTGCTGTCAGAGCTCTTCACGCTGTGCCTCTTGGCCTCCTCTGAGCTAATACTGTTCAGACTGGACAGAAGAGCGCGTGGGATGAAGTTAAACAAGAGTGAGAGATTACATCCGTGCCAGCAGCCTTGTGTGTGTGGCTGTACTGACACAGTGGTGCTCGTTGAGCTAAATGCTAAGGTGCTAACATGCTCAAATGCTGATGTTTAGTACAAATCATGTTTACCTTATTCACCATCTCAGTTTAGCACGCTTTGTTTGCTAAAGAACTGATGCTGGTGTGAAAGTCCTTTGTTTTGCAGGAATTTAGTCACAAACCAGCACATTTAGTTACTTTCCTTGAGGAAGGTTTACAACCGTTCTCAGCTTTTTAAAACGGAATTTAAATAAGCGGGGATGTAAGAGGCTTGAGTCTGATGAAAGATGCTGTCAAGTTGCATTAAGGGAAATGTAGAATTAAGGGTTATTTAGGCTTCACCTAAACTTGGGACTAAAATCTATTCGGACCAGTTATTTTAAATATGTCTCTTGTGCAGACCACAACTTTATTTAAGTGCAAAACTAAATTGCTGGAGGCACTTTGAGAGGAGAAGAGAACACCACGGGTGGACAATCAGAGGAAGACAGAGAGAGCAGACGTAGTTACAGATGATTGAAAACTGCTCTAAATGCAGGGAAGAAACAGTCCAAGAAAAGCCATTAGCCTCCAGGTGTGTACGAAGACAAGGAGAACAGTGTCTGAGAGTTCCACTCGGTTAACTTCCACTGGGGGCCCATTGAGTGATGCTGATGAGGAGACGGGAGGCTGGTATCGACATGCAGGTGAAACAGAAAATGCGTAACCAGACTCCAAAAGTAATGACTTTATTTTCTCCAATCACCTCATTTTAAAGACATTTTTTGAAGTCCTTCTCCAGATAGTTGAATTATTAGTAAGGCATGAAGAAGTGGAATGTACCTTCCTATCCGGATGGCCTCGCATACATGTGATTTAGTGCGTGGCCGGAGAAAAGTGCTTGGCCAATTAAGTTGGTCAAACCACTTTGTTTTGTGCCTCCGGAGGCCATCGTGCATGCGGATCCACCAATGAGGCCCACAACGGGTTTAGCATCACTAAAATATCAATTTCAAGGTGTGCGGCTCTGCCCGATGAAAGGTGGAGACATTTCCACGCACAGTAATGGATTACTCATGGGAGACCCGTCTGCTGATCTCCTCCATTAGACATGCTGTTATTGCAGGGGAGCCGCTGAGGTTTAATCAAGTCATTGAGCGAACAGTCGCTCCGACAGGTATGAAAGGCTGGTTGACTCAAATGTACGCGGATTTACATACGTTCACCCACGTCCATCTGCTCCGTGCCGCTACCGAGCAGCGCAGAACAATACCCACTGTTCATTTCCAGCCTTACTTCTCAGGGAAAAGGGCTGACGCTCACCTGGAGCGTCTGAAGCCGGAAAAACCTGCATGCGAGGCCTCGTCGATGAGCGGTTTGACGATACTTTCCATCATGTCCGTCAACACAGTGAAGGTGGGCACCACGATGAAGTCGATGAAGCCTAGTGACAGAAAAAAAGAGCCCAGAACGATCGTTCGAACGCTGCAATTTGGAATGTATTTCATGTCAAGTTGATTTTTTAGAATTCCAGGTGCAGATAAAAGTCTATAGGGGTTAAATGTGTCATTAGACTGTCAGGCTGGAGAAGCTCTAAGCAGATAAAACGTTCATCCTCAACGCCTTCAATTACTTCTATGTGTTATATGAGTTATATAATGTCTACGAGTTATAAATCCTTTATAAAAACTGAAACAGACAGCAGAAGTGCACCCAAACAGACACACCGTTGTGCTGGTGGTGCATTTGAACTCACCAATCTGGGATTGCGCCACCATTGTGGACTTTCGGTCGCAGAGCGGAGAGAACGGCAGTCCCAGCTCGGATTCTTTATCCCCCTGGAAATACAGCAGCGCCCTCAGTTAATAGTTCTCTTCCTTTGGTTTCTATATAAATATGCGGATCCCACACTCGCAGGCGCCGGCTCTCGTAGACACCGCCGCTGTACACCGTATGCTCCCACTTCTACCAACAGGCTTTGGATTCGTCTGGCCCCGACCGTAACGGGTGCTTTGTGCCACAAATGTGTTTCATTTTCTCCTCTGATTTGTCACAAAAAAGATGAGATGTAGTCAGGAGGCAGTGCACCTTTGAGGGGCGATTTATTGGCGATAAGGCCTCGTGAAGCAACCGCAATAACAAAAGATAATGAGAGGAATGCGGATTAAATATTGCATCAGTTAGACAACGGCCCTCCTTGTTGACATTACTAAATTTGCAATATATTATTCAGAGCGAAATGGATTGTTTTATCAGAGAGGTAATGTTCTACATTTTAATCTGCGATGGCTTTGACAGCGGCATCAATTTTTAAAATGACAAGGAGCGACATATCTGCAATGCCATCAAACTTATGAATACGACCGCTTATCCCACTAATGTAAAGCACCATATTACAAGAATCATTCACTTGTTCTCATCCTTGTGAAGATACCTGACACACATAGGACTAAATTGAAAAAAGAAATAGCTTTTTTTGGAGCCACTATGATCCGAAACACCGACATAAATGAGGCGGCTAAAAACATCAACTTGAGTGTTTTTCTCTGAGGAAAGATGATTCATTTCAATTTTATCTCTCTGCATTTCTGAGAAATCTTAGTAGAGTACTTCCTTCTGAATAACACAGAATAGGAAGAGAACAGGGGGTCATTTTAATAAACTTTTCATCTTAGCTCTTTTTTTTGTCAAAAGGATTTTTCCTGTATGTAAAACGCCACAATAATTAGACAAACTCTGGTGAGGAACATCACATGACACCAGCCCAATCTGCAGAGCTGCTACTAGGTGGATTGCTGCGTTAACAACATTAATAATGTTTGCATTTCATTTGTGTTAGCGGTGTTTGCTTGTATCTGAACCTCTTCAAAACACTGACGCATGTACTGGAGCGGCTATGCATGACTTTGTGACCTGGCCACCAGCGTCCACTAACCTGTCTGAAGAACTCCTCTAGGAGGGAGGTGGTCCAGCGGTGGTGGAGGTTCCAACTTTTGGCCGGGTGGCTGATGTCTGCCGTGTGCAGGAGCAGGGACAGGGCTTTGGGCTTGTCAATGCTGCGAAAAATTGGCCGAGATAAGTGGTTGCTGAACTGTTTTAATGTGCTATAGTATTCATTCTCAATCGTTCGCATCATGAGGACAAACACGTATTCTGGATTCATCTGCAACAAGGTCTTTGAAAAACACCAAACGGGGAAGAACATTTTAAAAGGCCCTGAAATCACGGCGTCAATCACAAGGAAGAAAAATGTGGCACAGCTGCAAATCTTTTGACAGCGATCTGTCCATGATGGACGTGAATGGACTGCGTGACCAAGAGCAGCACAAAAAAATAAGAAAATAAAGTCCAAGGGACATTTTGCTGTACATCATGCTCAACATGGGGCCAAGTTAAATAATCTCAGTCTTATATACAATTCACCACTAATTGCTGTACAGTTGTGTTTGTCAACTTCAAACAGACGTGCACAGCTGTCTAAAAACAGACGCACGCCCACCCGAAAAAAGGGCACAGAAATGAAAAACTGCCTCCGTTAAGCAAATCCATTTCCTATACTGAAACCGGCGTGAAGAAGCATCATCTCACCTCATCAGACATCGGCGGTGCCTGAGAAATCTCTTGATAACCATATCCAAATATCAAGTTTAATGGACTGATGCATGAATGAAAAGACACAGTCCAATACGGAAAACAGGCCCGCAAATGAAAACACACACACACACACACACACACACACACACACACAGCACAAGGTTAAAAAGAGGTTGAGAAGGACTATCTCAAATTCCCCCTCCGTTCCATTTGTGGCAGATTGAGTCTTAAAGTGCACTGGAAGCAGCCCCGGAGCGGACTGGTTTGAATTACTTCACATTAGAGTCTATTCAGCATTACGGCTTCCTGCCGACTGCAAGCTCATTTATCTACAAGCATGCATGTGTGTGTGTGTGTACCTCACACTGTAGCATTATGATTACTTTCCAGTCAGCACGCTTTAGAATTGTTCGTATATTGTTTATAGAAGTATAGAAATCATTACATAGTTGAATCCTCCATGTGTTCTCAGGAAGCTATTTATCTCCACATCATTGCTTCCCAAGCTATTTTTTTTCTTCTTCTAATTGTGAGGGAGAAGAATACCCTGAAGGTCAACGCGTGTCTTCTCTCGTCAGCGTCTACATTGGCACTGATGACTCATCACGTCACCCGATAGTTCGCTTGACGGCTGTTCCTTTATTTCTGGAAACGACGGCTCTTTGTCTGAATGCGGAGCGGTCTCCGTTAACATTCACCAAACACACTGGCCAGCAGTTGCTGATGACCATTTACGGCGTTTTATTCTATTATATAAGCCAAATGAATACGGGGTTATCAGCGGTTATCACGCTCGTACTTTCGGGGTATTAACTATTTATACAGTTGACTATAAACACCAGTAGTGTGTAATAATTCACTTGTGAAACCATAACATTGACTTTCACTGTGCTTTAGTTTTGTAATTTATTTGAACCAAAACCGCAACATTTTCACAAGATGAACTAGTTTTATTTCATCACCCTTTAAATTCACAACATTAAGAGTCTAACAACATAAAAATGGGTGTTTATGCTTTTAAAGCAGCACATTAGCGCCGCTAAAGACAATAACACATAGTTTGTGGGCGGCTAATGTTTTCTATCTGTTCATCTTATCTACCAGCAGCCCGCTGTGTTCCTGCTAACCCGCCGGCATTGTATGTGCCGCCGGCTGTTTTTCCACTATTTGTGTGCGAGTACATTTCATCAAGCCAAAATCCGCAACTGTGCCCCGGACTCCCAGCGCGGGAACACAAAACGCCCCGCGCCTCAGCGGGCCGTCCACCTGAGCTGTATAATGCATGATGTTTGGAACAAGATGCTCGTTCCATTTCTATTTTTTATTAGCGGAAAAAACAACAGCTGAATAAGAGATATCGGCCCAGTCCAGCTGATAAGGTGGATGCTTTTTGCGCTGTGAATGTTTGAGTGCCAGTTAATTGGGTTGTAAACAGCTGGAGGTGAGTACAGTGCGCAGTGGCTGACGGGAAGGTTGATGAGGATGTAAATTGCCGGTGCGAGTAGACAAAGGACAAGTGGACTCACCCCTCGGGTTGTTGAAGGAAGTTCTTCATGGTCTTGACTTGCTGGAAGTGGCAGGACATATCTGTGGCCAGCACCATCTCCACCACCAGAGCCCGCAGCTCTCTGGATGAAAGCGAAGGGGGGAAATGGGAAAGTACAAACAAAGCTCACTTATCTCTGGAGTTGCAAAAAGTAAATGACATGACAGAGAGCTACTCGTAACATCTGCCCTGACGAGCTCCAGCGCACGCGTGTGGAACGTAGAACTTCCTGGCTTCCTGACGTCCGCCTGTCTGTCCGTCTCTAACCACAAACACCTCCGCCTCTCCCTCGTCTTGTATCCGTCCCACTGACCTCCAGTCGTCCTTGGAGAGGTTGTAGAGGATGTTCATCTCGTCGTCCTCCTGCAGCAGGCGGTATGCCGCGCTGACGTGGTGACTTCCAACACCGAGCGGTCATTGTAAAGTATAGCCGTGTCGGACCTGTCGGAGAGGAAAGCATAGCCATCGTTCTCCAGGTGCACACGGGAAAGGACATCGCAATACAATACGAAAATGTGATTAAACCGAAAATGATTTAAATGAAGTGTTTTGAATTGCACGGATTGACTTCTTCATGAAAATCATTGTGCTTTATTAATAAAAACACTAACTTTTACAGTGATATTTAACTGTAACACCGTTTTGTTACAATGTGTTCTCTTAAACTCGAGGGCTCAACACTGGCAGGCGATCTCAGTGTGATCGTAAAGCTCCCTCGCTGCAAATGAAAACATTGATCGGGTGAGTCACTGCATTTATGACGGCGCGATCCATTACCGTGTCTGAATGTGGAAGTTGTTTGTGGTTCCCGTGTGCTCGTAGTCGTGCACCGCAGCCGCAAAGATCATGGCAAAGATCTCGAGCTCAGTCAACCAATGCTGCGGGCGAGAAAAAAAGAAAGGAGGAGAGGAGGGAGAGGGGAGGAGGGGGGGCAAGGGAACATAATGAGGTGGAGTGGATATCCAGAGAAGGATACGGAAGAGAAGGGGGGAGGGTAAGCAACAAGAAGGAAAAGACAGCAGCATTGACATCAAAGAAGGTAAGTAATGAACAGAAGAGGAAAGAATGGACATAAATCGGGGGGAAGAGAGGAGAAGCCAGTGAAAGGGAGAAAGGTGAATGCAAAGCATCGTGACGCCATGATAACAACAAAAAGATTTGGAGGAGAGAAGTGATGTAAAAGATGCATCCAGAAGTATTGGGCATGAAGGACACATTGCAGTCAGGAATAAAGGACAGGGAGGAGAAGAGAGAGGAAAGGTCAGATTAAAAATGGGTGATGCTTCTTCTTATCGTTCAGTCAAGGTGAAATGAAGAGATTAACACATTCATGTCCGCGGGGTGAATATGTAGCTTCAGCCGGGCTCGCTGCTTGTGATTCGGACACAGACACTTTATACAATATCTTAATATGTGACCTTCAGAGGTGCTGGCAGATTTGCATTCTTCATGCTAAGATCATCTTAGCTTACCGGCTGTTGGTAATTTAGTAGCTTTGTATTTACTGTGCTAATTTACTAGTTATTTAAGTGTAAAAAATGTCAGGAAAGAACTTACTGAAGGCCTGCAGGTAAATATCATTCCAAGTCATTTTTGTGATTTTTGCTATTCCAATTGTGCCACCTTAACCTTTGTTTACAAATTTACATTTTTATCATTTGCATTTTTGCGCAATCAACACTGTATTCCTACGTCGGGCATTGATCTTCTCATTTTATTCTCGGCGATATTGTGAATATGTGTTATTTCCAAAAGGTCCAACTCAACTGCCGGAAAGGACGAAAAACATTAATAGTGAAAATCGAGTTTCATCACGTGAGCAACACTCACACAAGCACCTGGCTCTGGATTGCAAAATGCATTAGAACCCCACGGACGGCTCCAGCGCGGGAGCACTTTATATTTAGATTTAGAGTTTAACCTGTGATTTTGTAGCATCCACACACCTGTGACGGGGGGGTTCCCTCTGATGTGAATGCATCCGCGTGCACCCACCCACACAGAGTGGGGATTTAGCTTAGCACGTCTGGTCGATATCGGTGACTAATCAGCAGCGGGGATGGGAGAGTCATTAAGAACTGCGGGTGAGGGGGCGTCGAGAGGGCGAGTGGGGGGGTGAGATTGTGCCCCGACCATCCCTCAGTATTTTTCCTGCAGGGGCCGGCTTTATGAATGACCCGTAGATTGATGATTTAATGGAGTCTGGAGGGCCTGCGGAATGATAGATGCTGTTTTCCTGCTCTCCCAGGAGCCCGCGGTTCTGGCCGTAATGTTGTTTACTGCGCGAGGCCCTGCCCAAGGAAACGCACCAATGTCGACAGCTGTCGCAGCCACCTTATTACGGTGATTAAATAAAAACACTGGGGGCGGGGGCGGCCAGCTGGTTGTCTAGGTGGAGACTTTGAGCTCGAGGCTAGTTTTGTGTTTGTTTTGGAATGAACAAAGTCTCAGAAATGTCCTAAAGTCACTCCAGGGGGGAATGCGGGGAAATATAGGTCACCAGATGAAAACAAAAACAAAAGGAACATGAAAAAAAAGGGGGGAAGATGTGGAGCGACGTTTGGGCAAAGAGACAAAAAGACATTTGACTTGAAACGTTGAGACAGTGATCCGTAATAAGTGTCACGTTTTGAAGGATAATCTAAGAAACGTGGGTCGATGTTCTCAAACCGAGCCAGACGGGAACGTCTTGTTTCTTACGTACACGTAAAGAATGGATCCTCTCTCCATCCGCATCGAGGCGACGACACGTCACTCACAGCTACAATGAGTCTGGCGCACTGAATGTCGTGTGGATAAGATGATTGCGTAGCCTGGTTTCTGCAGGTGTCTCAGCGTGTAATGCCCCACTCACCACCATGCCGGTCTTGAGCAGCAAGTAGTGCACCGTCTGTGTGACGTCGGCAGCGTGCATCAGGTTGTGGTAGGGGTTTTTGTGTTTGCTGTATCCTACTTCTAAGGCCTCCACGAAGGACACCACCGCAGAGATGGGGATCTGACGGCAGACAAAACAACAATGACAAACGGCCGGCAGCTGAATGAAAGCGCTGCAGACAGACAGGGCTCTTCTCAGTTGGCTATTGAGTCAGTTAAATGATGAGGGCACACAGTTTCAATACACGCACAGTCCCCGCAGTATTGGAAATTGATGTCATAAAATCCTGCATCGTGAATCACTGAGGCGACGGCCGACTACGATTACATATTCTTGTCAGCTTCATTGCCCGTGTCATTTACGTTAAAGTCCTGTCACTTAAAGTGAAGTGTCCTCAGCTGTACGGCGCTGTGGAAAATCAGCTCCGCGAGCATCGGTTAAGATGAAGTGCCGAGTGTGCCTCCCTCTTCGTAATTCAGTCGTTGTTTGGAGACACAGCGCGATCTAACATGTGTCACACGGAGAAGCGAGTATGCCGACTTCCATCAAATCAGGCCCGGCGAAGGGGAACCGAGAAGGTTATTCTACACTGACTAGTCCCCGTTTCTCCTCGTTTTAAAGACACAAATCCAAATATACGTAGACATATGCGCAGTCGTCCTTGTGGCTTTACCTTGAACCGGCTGATGAGGTCGTATCTTGTTAGCAGCTCGTAGAATATGAATTTAAGCGCGTGGTCCCCGCTGGCCTCGTTCAGAGCGAACACGTCAAACGACCACTTGTCAACATGCTGCGAGGAGGAGGAGGAGAGTTCAAAACAATGACACGTTCTTAAGTGTACGAAGATGTTACTTTGTGTCCGCGAGCTTCTGCTTGGATGTGTGTGTACTTGTTCATACCTTCAGCACAGATATGACAGAAGGCGGGTAGCTGAGTCCCACCATGTTGGAGGTGCGTCGGTACATCCTGCTTGGACGAGATAAAAAAACATGAAATGAAGCGCACCGCTGTGTGTGAACACCGGAGGTAACCGCAAAAGCCCCGAACCACGACATGGAAGGATCCCCAACAAGATAATGTATAAACCAGCACAAGTCGGTATGTTGAAAAAGGATAAATCACACATGCAAACAGCTTAAGGCTTTGTTGTTTAAGGACAGAAAACAGAATAATTTAATCACGTGTTGTAATGCAAGATGTGTAATTCTCCATGAGATTAGTGGAATGGTGAGAGGCAGCTGGAAGACAGCAAAGTGCGTGTACATTGCTTAGCATCCAGAAAAAAAAACATGGAATTCAACAAAATATGCCCTGAAGTTTTAAAATAAACATTAATCAATGCAACTTAATATAAAGCTGCAAGTTTAGTCGGAGAGGACATTTGTTCTAATTTAAAATAGCGGACACCTCATACTTCATCACTGTTTTCATTTTCATCCTCCCTTTCTCAATCTTTTTTTCAGCACATGTCTGAAAACAGACGGCCCTCTGTAAAAAATAGATTAAGAAAGATTACAGCTTACGTGTGTGAGGCTTACTGATTTGAGCGAATGTATATTGCATGTCAGTGTGTGATAAAGCACAGTCTTAGAGAGGGAGCTGTCCACAAATCTCTGAATGATTGTGTTCAGCGGAGCTTGCCGGGGCTGTGATGGGGACTCAGGTGAGGGAGTGTGAGTACAAACCCATTTCCAGCAGAGTGAAATGTTAAACGCGCCGACCACTTCTCAGACACACCTGTAGTCTTAAAGAGGTTTGGGTTGTACTTCCTGACTTCTGGCTGCAAATAGTTTTCATTCAGTGAATTAAAAATAAATGTTCAGAGGAATTTGAGAAATATGCTCTAAATTAATAATCAATCATAATGTTATATAAAGTTATATAACCATAGTAATAACATTCCCTGAACCCCAAATCCCTCTTTTATTTATTTTTTTATACTTATTCATTCCCCCAATAAAATAGATATATCACATATCTTTCATTAAGAGTCTTGCCTTGTTCAACAAGAAAGATATTCAATTCAGTAAAGTTTACCTACTGTGAGAATGTCATTCATTCATTATTCACTTCTTGTCTGTATGCGGCTGTGTGCTTGTGCATCACACACACACGTTACCTCTCAACAAATATGCCAGCCTGGACGGCGTGGACGATGCTGCGGAAGCGAGGTTTCTCTTCGTTGCGCCGCAGCATCAGGCCCATCTGGCGGGTGAAGGTTGAGGCCAGCCAGTCCCTCACCTCCGAGGGCACCGACTCCGACTGGATGTCACTGAGCTCATCCTCCGTGTCCACCAAGCGCCTGAGAGAAGGCAGGAAGGGGCGACGGTGAACGACAGGAACAAATAAGAAAAAAGGAGCAAAGGAAAGGCATGAACGGCTTACTAAAATATCTAATCTTTATTAGAGCAAACTCAAAATCCCAGCGCTGTCAATCAAATAATATCACCTCTTATGTAACGTTAAAACATCCCTGGCCTTTTGCAAAATCATGACGGGGAATATTCAGATCCAATTGTGTAGCATAATTCTCCACAGCGACACTGTCGGGTTGACATGTGCAGGGGGATCAAGAGCAAAGCCTGTCGGTCTCCACCCTCTGAACTAAATACAGGTTCGTATGGCATAGAGGAAGCATCCACAGCACACTGATAATCATGGTGCTACATGGACTTTGCACTGGATCGTTCATCATCCTTCATCTTCGAGTGGTCCTGCCATCACTGGCCCTAATCTGCAGGGATCTAGATGACGAGAGGCTTACATAATTCCATAAACCCGCTCATATCTCAGATTCCGGACCTGCACCACACCATTGACATACATTGAACGTGTAAATTTCATAACCGTGACCATCCATAACCCACATATTCAGTGACCATAACCGTCATATTTGCCAGGAAGTATTAAAGTAGTTTAACTAGCAGTAGAAAATGTAATGGAGCTACTGAAGTTAATGTGCAAAATTAAATAAGTAATACATTATTATTCTGCCATGGCGGCCATGTTTTTTTGGTACAATACGAAAGATACGATCTTTGGAGCAGATCAGAAACGTGACTAAAACACTTTTTTTGACCTGTAAAGACTTTATTAAAGTATTATCTAATAATCTTTATTGATGTATTAAAATGTACTTAATAGTGGAGTCAACTTGACATGCTTTTGGGTTGTTTAATCCATAACTAGAGGGGGAAAGTTATGTTGTTGTTTTTTGGCAGCGTTTGTCGGGGGAGAATTGTTGAGCCACAAATGAACCATGTGGACACTTGTTCTACAGCAACAAGCTGTTATTCACTTACCTCGTCTCCTCGATATAAACAGACTCTAGCACCAGCGCTGCATACTCGAGGTTCTTCTTGAGGTCCGTGAGGGAAGCCTCTCCTCTCTCCAGTTGCTTCACCAGACATCGTAATCTAAAACAGAGACACAGCGGTCGTTCAACAAATGGGATTACTTCCCCGCCATATCGACATGATAAATTAATTGCAACTGATATTGGATTAATCTGGTCAGAGTTCCCGGTGTTTTTTAGTTGTCCTCTGTTTAAAAATGTTTTTGTCTGAATTAAGAAAAAATTAAATGAAGAAAAAAAAAAACATTATTAAAATAAAATATCACTATGGACTATCACTAAATGTCACTATGGACCAGAAAGTTATCTTAGTTTTGGACACATATACACTTTGAGATAATTAATTATAGACTATAATAACACTTTGTAAAAGAGAAACTCAACCACCAAATTATCAACCACATTTCTAATAAACGTCATAAACAATGGCCGCATGTATTGCGGCTGCTATGACAACCCAACATACCTATCTGCAGACCCTGCTTCCGCTCATTTGCATGAAGTATTATTAGGTATTTAAAATCAAAATAGCTATACTATTTTTTTGGGGGGGGGGAGACTTGCATAACTGGAGAACTGGAACTTTTTCTGACCTTGTCCGATTATATTTATTTGAATTAATTCAACCGTCAGTACAGTCGCTGGTGAAGACACCGAAGGGCTTTAGAAAAAAAAAGATAGCTGCAGCAATTGCTGATTCTGCGTGCGGCACTTTCAAAGTTTGCAAAAAAATACTTTAACTGATGATCGGCGCATATACCGGGTAAAGCCTGTAATTACAGAGCCTTATTATCACAGCCTTACATGATTCATTGAGGTGTAGTGAGGAGCTCCCCGTGCAGAATGTACAATGTGGTTTAGGTTTACCTGGAAAACAACAGAACGTTACATACTTACGTAACTAACCGGATGCTCCCTTTCATATATTAACGCTGATTTACTTTTGACTGTAGCTCTGCCGTATATGTTATCCCAAACATTCTCGAGCCTTTGCAAAAACCCTGCTATGAATGGACACCTAAGAGCTTCTTGACATCCATTTCTCCGCGCTGCGTAAACCACCTGCTGCTGCGCTGGAGGTCACGCGCTCCCTTTCACAGTGAATGCCCACAGAGGCTGTGCTTGTTGTTGAATTATTAAGTAGAAGGGTGGAGAGAGTAGAAGGTTTCAGTTGCTCGCATTGATTACATTCCCTGGCAGAAAATTTCCACCAAGTAAACGCAAAATATTTCTCCTTAGAAGGTTGTAAAAGTCTCGACCTAAATATTTATGAATGCAGTGTGGTATTTTTTTAATTGGGAAAACAGATCCCTTTTTTCTAACACCCAACTATTTGGAATGTAAAACAAAGCCCTCAGAAGAAGAGGCAGCATGCAAACCATCTCTTCCATCTATCTGCAGAGCTTCAGTGAAAACCAATTAGACACATTCTACTGCGCAATAACATCAGGTGGGGAATGCTGATCATCGTCCAGGTATTTCCTCAAACCCACCTCTGCAAAACAACCTCAGAGTCATTACAATTCCATGTCAATCTATTGCATAGTTTTCTCCACATTTTACTCTGAATGAAAAATAGTGATATTGATGCGATATTACGGTCAGGACCAAAAGTGACCAACCAAGCAACCAAAATGTGGAAAAGCATCCTCATGTGGCAAAGCAGGGGCAGATTCACACAAAGAACGGCTGCATGGAAATACTATAAAATCTCAAACATCTCAGCTATTTTAAGAATCACAAGGAAGTGAATGGATGGGAGAGTAAGCATCGACTCTGGGATCACAGCGCGTGTCATTTGGCTGGCACTAATGATGGTTATTAAGAGCAGCTGTGTGCCAGTGAGCCTCCCTGCCAATACATCAGAATAAAAAGTTCCCTCCCTCCGACTTTAATCCTTTATCAGCAATCATCGTGAATGCTGAACTGATCAATTGGTCATTTGCCGCAACTCACAATGGCGCCGGCACGCTGGGACGCCCACGTTGAATGTCTGCAGCACGTGGAGCTGTCTCCGTGAAAATGTTTTTTTTCTTGTGCTCATTCTTTTTGTTTGGTGAACAATAGACTGAACTGAATGTGCAATCATTTTTTTTTTTTGCTTTTCGCTCAAGCGCTAATTTAGTGGCATCCTGCGGGGCTTTTTAGTGAGAAATAATGCCATTTTAAAGTGCTCAGAGGAATCAGAAACAATTTAGAAAGAGGAAGCTGTTTTTCCTCCCGTCCCTAAGATGGGAGAGAACATCTGATAAAAACATTCAGAATTGACTTAGTTGACTAAACACAAAGACTTTTGATGACAAGCCCAGCAGCAAAAAGAGCCATAAATCAGCTGTCTCTGACAGCCAAAACCAAATTGGCTCATTTTACCTGCTGTCATTACCCAGGGAGACAACATGCTGGGTTAATATCACAGGTTCTGCCCAAACTCCCAGGCTCAGAGCCAACCAGGAGAGCTCGGGCCAGGGAAGAAGCCAGTAGGGAGGCGCAGGGTGTGAAATAAGTGACACGCGGCAAACTCATTTTCTCAATTATTCTCATTATCAACTTCTCACTTCCGATGTCAATGTTGATTAATCCCATGGCGAATTTCCATTCTGAAAATAGTTTCCGACCTAGATGCATGTAGAGATGTACTATGCGGCTTACGGTGTCGCTTGAACTGATTGAATGAGAATATTGCAGATGACAGTTGTGATAAATATGGCGAAGGCGCTGGACTGAGATGCTTCTGCGTGTGATTTCCGACATTTATACAAGCAGAGTTTAGCGTGAGCACAAATAACATGAATCCAGCCTAATCAACACGACTAACAGCGGATCACGGTTTTTGTTTCTGACCCTGTTTGCCGAAGGCAGGCTACTCCCCGGACAGGTCACGTCCACCACTGTGCATGTGCATAATCTATGAAATAAGCATATATATAACCTAAAATTGGACAGTGGGATAAATCCGCAGAAACCGCTGAAAAATCAGATCACAGCGAGAACGCGCAAATTAAGCTAATTTTGTATTATTATTATTATTAGTATCATCACAGGAGACATTTATCACCTGCTACAATCACACAACACCCCCTAACCCCCCCCAAAGGGAATAATCGCTCCGCTAAATAGACAAATTCCACCGGCCAAGGTTAAGCAAACCAGTGACGGCGCACGGCAAAGACATCAGCCTCCAGCTGTCTGCCTCTTTATCTGAAGAATGGAGATGTATCTGTTCTCCCTCAGGGAGGGGTGAGCAGGGAGCGCAGAGGCGAGATTAGAGTAGGTATTCACAATTCAGAATTGAAATGCAAAAACAAAAAGGGACTAGTGCCAAAGTGGAGCCGCTCCGCCGAATATATACAGTGGGGCTCCGAAAAGGCCCAACCTCTCGACAGCTGTTGTGACAACCAGAAGGAAACCTAAAAAAACACCAAAAAAAACAGAGAAATGAAACAGCGGAGGGTAACGTAGCAACAGCTGTCGCCTTCCTCCAACAATTGCTTTGTCACTCAAGCAAGAAAAAAACACTCCCCCCATAATCCACAGGGAAAGTCGTTTGAAAAGAATCGAATGCGTTCCATTTTGACCTAACTCATAATAAATACAGGCTCGGTTCTGCTTCGGGGAGCCGCAGAAACAGTCAGGAGCCGTTTTGCACACAGCGGAAAACGGAGATGGAGAAGATGCCGCTGCTGGTGGAGCAGAGAGTCCCGTCACGATGTAAAAATTCACCGTCTGTGTTGTAATGACATTCTAGCACAGACAATGTGTAATCAACGGCCTGCGGTCAGCGTAATCACCCGGGAAGATAAGCGCAACTTCAGGGAACACACACAGGTTTTCAGGCTGATAAGGGGGGGGGGGGGGGGGGCCTCGTAAAGACGCGATTAGTTAAGCTACACCCTGATTCTGCAGCATGGATCGTGATTTGTGACTGCGGCGGGGGAGATGTTCGTCCACAATATGGATTCCCGGGACTTTCTGGCAAAACAGCCGGGGCGAGGCAGGAGTTTGAGGCATGGTTCGATGTGGAGCTGGCTTCTGTTCAACAGAGAACCGCTCAGCTGTTGAACGTGTTTGCTATTGTGAGCAATCCATTTCAACCCCACTTAAGTTATTGGATTTCCTCCACATCACAGAAATGGCTTGACGGAGGAACGGCCTCCGGTGGGAAGAATAGGTGCGCTGTGACGTCTTTCAATGAAAGTCTTTTCAAAGTAATGGTAGTTTATGAAGCAAATGTCACTATTTGAATGCACGTCATACAAAGACACATGATTAATTAATTATTACATCATTCTTATGAATGATGTAATAAACCCCGAACAAATGAAACAACCAAGTATTAGTAGTTATGCAGGATTAATGATTTTCTACGCGTACAAGCGTTCCAGTTTTACCGAAAATGAAGCTAAAAGATGTTTTTTGTTTGAATATGTAAATGAGTTCCCTGTGAGCTGGGGAGGGGAAAATATTTAAAATGAAATGAATTGTTGTTTGATGCCAAATATTATCTCCCGACTCTCAAGACATGTCTCGCACTGACAGTACGAGCCATATGTCTCCCCTCCCCTCTCACTCAGCGTCGCTGAGGAACGTGAGCTAAATGCACAAATGTTATCGTGGCATCCACACTTAACACATTGAGCCGGCCGCTCGGCTTCGGGCGGCGAGGAACCACAGCGGGGCCGGGCTGAATGTCTCCGCTGTCGTTGTTGAATCATTTCGTCACGGGGGAAGGGAGCCGCGCTCTCCGAACGACACCAGCAACCCCTGGATAAAGTTCTGATATCTGTTCTAAACCAAGGCTTCCCAGTGGGAGGTTGCAAATGACAGATGTGACAGGAGAGACCCTAAAAAAAGATCAGTGGTTGGCTGAACGCAGCCCACTCGTGTCAAAGACTGCCAATCAAATCCACAAGATGGATGTTTAAAAGAAAACAAAAAAAAAAAATGCAAAGAGAAGGAATCATCGTTTGGATCAAACAGGAGGAGGAGGTCAAATTGATGTAACGGTTTAATGCAACAAACAAACAGGAGATGATATTCAGTGACAAGGCCCCGTCAAATATT